TTAACTTCTGCCATGCTTAAGGGTTAGAATAAGAGAATAAACTGATGTTCCTGTATTGTTTAAATTTCTTTACATGTGCTTGGTAGATTTTTCAAGGTACTGAATTACAGTGTTTTGGGCACGTAGGTCAAAGTCTTTCTTTAAATGTGCTATAGCTCCCCCAGTTCGGTTGATGAACGTTGTGTTCCCCCCTTGAAATCAATAATCCTCCATTCTTGTCTACCTGAACTGTTTGAGTTTTTATTATACTAATCTAAGTTTCAGTTAAAAATACATCCTCACTGGATAAGAGGTACATCCTCTTTCATTCCCTGCCTTAAGCAGTTTTGTTTGTTTACTCCCTTGTTTTTCACTCACACAATTATTTTTTCATTTCAAGCCAAAAGGTCTGTTAGGGCTCCTGTAGTAAGTACATCCAGCGGGAGATGAAAGGTCATCCACTGAATTCATACAGTGACTTCTCATAAAATGTATTTTGGGTTCAGCCTCTTCAGCTTTTAAACAAATATACTTCTTTGGCATTACTCTGGATTCTTTGGGGAATTCTGATTCTCTGTGGCTCACTTTGATCTGAAACAGCAAGGTAAGTAGTTTGCTGTGTGAAACTGGTAGTTTAATGCCTGATCTTCAACGCACAGATCAGCACTATCAGTATTCATGGCAGAACAGAAAAGAATCGCTATCGGGTTTATACTCCCTGTTACTCCATACTGATAGCAGTTACTCCTTTGGAGCTTACGTTTGGGTTTTCACTGAGAAGCAGATTGAAACCAGTTCAGGAGCAGCAGTAATACTAGTATTCCTTGTAGCAAGATGCCTTACCCAATTAGGAAAACCTTCACCTTTTCTTCCTTAAAGCAGCCTTCCTCTTATTTTAGAATGCGGTAGAAACATTGTGTTATTAATTACATTTTACCAAATGAACTTCACTTCAAGCTTAATTAAAACTATGGAAGCTGAGTTATACTAACGTAGTCTTGTAAACAGCAGAATTAGGAGTTGTGTGTGAATAGCTGGTTACAGAGTTGAAAATATCTATCCCCATTGTTTATGTCAGAATATTTGAGGAATTTGTACACTGGATTTGGTACAGCTCTGCCTACATGACAATGGCTGTGCATTGTTGTCATTTCTAATTCTATAACCGCTTGGGCCCCTTTTATCCTCAGAGCTGATATTTCTAAATTTGGAGCAATTATCTTGCTGGCTGAGAGACCTGAGAAAACAAGGAAAGAAATGGGTTCTTAGGTCTTATCAAATGCCAGTGTTCATCGTTAATTCTCCCTATTTTCTGTCCTCAGGTACTTGCATCTCTCTCTCCCATGGCTAGTTACACTATGTGAAAATAGCGTTAGAGGAATTGGGATAGCGTAGTTGGAATTGCCGAGTGTGATTAAAACGTCATGTGTGAATTAAGGCAGAAAATGTAATAGGCCACCCATAGTGAAGCTGAGGAATTTTTCATACGTTAATTCAAATACATATTGTGTCACAGATGGGATGAACAAGAGAGAGAGATTTAACAACGTTAAATCCAGACAGCTGCAGAATGGCTGTCAGGTGGTTCTGAACCTCAGCAGTATCATGAACACAGGTTTAATTCAGACATATTTTCATACCCCAGACTCCTGGTTCCAATTATCTAGATCAGTAAGAATGTAATTTTTCTGCTGCAAGACTAGCTACTATTTTTTACTTTTATGAAATTATTAAAGCATTATTTATACACCTTGCACATCATAAGTAACTGGCAAACTTTTTGTGCTCTGTTGATGGAGCTTAATGTTTAAAACCGATTGCTCAGATGTGGTGGTTTAATCTACAGTGTTACTAACCCAGAAGAAATGCTGAGTGTTAAGCCTACGAAACCCCTCCTGGCAATCACAAACTCCGAATTTGGAGATCATAAAACCCCTGTGGAGAAAAATCTGCCATCTCCTGGCCACGGAGAACAGTACTGCTTAAGCATTGATGCATGCTGGATAGAGCACTCCAACGTGATTCCAGCAATAGGAGAAACTGGTAGTTTTGCAGTGAGATCTGAAAAAGCCCTGGTTAGTAGTTTTCTGACAGCGTATTTTTTCATCAGAAAGTGCTATTTTGTTATAATTAAAACTTTTTGTGGGAACATGTCAATGAGAAATGGACATATCCCCTTCTGAAAATATCAGAACATTCTGTTCCAAAATTTTTAGACTGGAACATTTTGATTTTTATTCCGGAGTGGTTTTTTAAAAGTAATTATTTTGTCACTATAAACACAAGAAGTTGAAATTTTCATCTTTGTATGAAACATTAGTGAAACCTCACATCATCGCTATAGCATGCACTAAGTTCAAATCAATCAAGAATTTAGGAGCCTCACCCTGCTCTGACCACTCAGTCTGTGTCTCACTACTTGCGGTCACGTACGCATGCTCTGTGGGAAGAATATTCACAAGTGTGACTATCTTTTCATTCAGATGAGGGACGCTGGAGATGGGAATAAAACTTTGTTTTTCTCATCTTTGCATCTTTATTTCTTTTATTGTAATTTTGCATGCATTACTTGAAGTGCTACAGTAATTTAAAGAAAAACTGGTTTGAGTTGACATTCCTTTTAATAATACAGCATACACAAAGAGTTCCCAGTTATAGCCAAAATCATACCAGTCAATATTCAGAAAAAACTAAAGGAGCAAACAACTAAAGATAACTCTCAAGGCCTTCCTTTGCCTAGCTTTGTAAGTTCAGTGCTTGTCATGTACTAAAAAGGAAAGATAGACTTTGCATTTTATTCTGCAAGGAAGGGAATGAAAGAAAAAAATGCAGGGTTTGATTAATTATACATTCAGGTGTTATTATATTTATATCTTTCCTTAAAATGGGGCTTCAGCTAAGTTGTATGACTTCTTAAAAATAGGCAAATTTATTTTCATAAAGAAAGGAAGTACAGCGGTTCTGATTATGTATCAGTAGTCACGACAGATCATTAACTATTTATCTAAATATATGACTATATGGCAGCCAATTACACTGTGTTAAAAAAAAATGTTTAGATGTCCATAACCATAACTCGCAGGAACAGTTTCAAATTTTGGACTTAATGAATTTTAAAATATCATTTTAATGTAGCTTTCAATGCAATTAGAAAAAATAAAGGAAAGGAAATTGCACGTGGTTGTCCCTCAACATGGATTATCAGAAAGGCTGAGTTGTTTTGCTCAGAGTGCGAGCAGTACCTACCGTGTGAGCTGAGCAAGTAACTGAGCGCAGAAGGTCGTTTACCTCTGTAGGAAGCAGGACTGCAGAGGAGAAGAGTGCTTATGCTGTCAGGGAACGTTTAGATTCAGGGAGTATGAGTTCAGTTCTGTGATTTGTAGGGGACTGTCGTGTCAGGATTGGAGAGACTCTCCTGCACAGGTCTCTTGGTTTTTATTTTCGCTCTTTCCTCCCCTCTCCAGTTCCTGTCCTTTTTTGCTCCTTGGCCATGCTACCTTCCCCCACTTCTCCATCCTATTCACTCTGTTTCCATTTTTGCCACTAAGTTGCTGTTTTCTTTTGTTCTTTTCACCCCATTCGTGTTCTTCCACCCTGCCTCTGTCCTTTCCACTTCTGTGTCTTCTGACCTTTCCTTGTAGCTATCTTCTCTTTCAAGATCCTTCTGGACCTTTTGTGCCAAGACTTACTGATTCTATTGTTTCGTCTGTTTCACATTCTCTAAGTATTCTTCATCTATCTAGTTCTCCCTCACCTGTGAGGTGGTGGCAATAGAAGCATAATACACAAAAGGAGGACACATTCCCAGCTGTTGAGTATAAAGTCTTGGTGCCACAGCAATCCCAGCAGTTGAGATGAACAATTTCAGAGAATATCCTTTCTGTCTCTGCAGCTGTACTGGAGGATACTTCTACTGTGGTTTCAAGCAATGTTGTCTTTTACAACAAAATCGGTAAAGTGTTACCATTTGTATCGTCTTACCCTTTCAATAGCCTTCCACAGGACCGAGTAGTGGTTCAAACTGGTGAACTGATCTGGCATTAAAGTATTTATTTATTGCTGGGAGTTTTTTCAGCTGAATAAGTCATTGGATCCATACAGAAGGAGAAATGTTTTAATTTGCCAGAAATATTTGATGCTTTTTAGCTAATGTATTCCACCAAAACCTCAACCTTTGGAAGATACTCAGAACAGAAAATTCAGTCCAGTCTCTAGATTATGCATGACCTAATAATGGAAGAAAGCTGACAAATTTTAGGTAACTCAAGTGTTTGCAATTTTATCATCTGATCTGTAATATTTGCACACCTCTGCCACATGAAAATCTGTCACTCATAGTGCCTCTACTGTGTAGTTAACATAATATGCAAGGGAATAATAAAGTTATTTTATTTAGGATTCTCTCAGCTGTCCCTGTTATCTCATTCAACAGAACAACCTGCTAGTGATAGGCTGCTGGTAATATTAATTTGTTTAAATAAATCGACAGGTAAAACGGGTTCTTTATTTTATTTTGTTTTTTAAAAGGTTCACTTCAGTGAATTAGAGAAATATTATTTCAGATATCTAAGAAAGGCATCCTTGCTCTATATTGGCTTGCTTTTGTTTTACCCATATTTGGTTGAGATTCTTTGTGTAATCTGCAAAATTCTTTGTGCCATAGTTTTTGACATAATATGACGAGATTTGATGCAGTGATTTACGTTGTGCTTATAGCGACTTAAGGCAGATGAGATACAGTTTCAGCATCTGCAGCAGAAGGCTATTGACTTGTCTGATCCCTGTACTAGACTGGTTCTGAATCATCGATGCCATTTCCTGATTTACATCTTTGCAAATGTATGCAAATGCAGAGTATTGCCATATGGTCTTAGATCCCCAGAAATGCTAGTGACTTGCTTGAGTATCTGAGCCAACAGAATAGGAGCTTTTGCCTCTTCACATTTTATACATTTCAAAAGGCAGTATTTTTCTTATTTTTCTATGTATCATTTCTGAAAAGGATCCTACAAGGTTTGAATTTATAGTAAAGCATCTGAGAGATCAAGGTCTTTCGCTTCATTTTGGGGAGGTGTTGAATTTTCTGTTGCTGAATTGATGTTTGCTGTTGAGGAAGGCAAGAGATCTTCATTTGTGAATTCTCTGGGGAAGCTAGAAGGACCTGGGAAGTCTGTAATTTGTTTCCATGGTTTTCCAGGACAGCTAGGGAGAGGAGATTCTGGGTGATCTGGTGACCCATTAGATGAAGAAGTATCAGGAAGAATTAGTGGTTCTGCAGGTGTACTCCTTTCCTTTCTTGCAAGCCCTGGTTTAACTAGCTCGGATGCTATTTCAGCACTGGATGATGGGACAGTTTCATTTTGATTAAAAACCCTTTCATGGAACTCCTCAGAAAATTTGGGGTTTGGATGTTTATGTTTTCCATTTTTACTGTGTTTTTTATGCCCGCACTCATGGCCAGTTCTGTGCCCACAACCAATTTCATGCCTGTGCCTTTTGTCAAACTCATGATCCTTTTTATGTTCATGCCTGTGTTTATGCCCAGGTTCATGCCTGTGTTTATGCCCATGTTCATGCCTGTGTTTATGCCCATGTTCATGCCTGTGTTTATGCCCAGGTTCATGCCTGTGTTTCTGCTCAGGTTCACCTTCACCTTCTGGTTCCTGTCCACCATCTTCTGTCGTTTCTTTGTCAGGACTTTGCCTTTCTTCTTCATTTGTATCAGAGCATGAAATTTCATTTGGCTGGTTTAGCGTAAGCAGGGCTCGGAAAGGTGTGAATCCAGGAGGCCTTCTTAGAACTAGAGTCTAAAAAACATTACAATAATAGCTGTATTCGTTACATCAACAAGAACAATAGCTTCATATCTGGGAAATTCAGAAGTTCGCTCATTGCAATACATGAGTCATTTAGCAAAAATCTATTATGAAATTTTTAAAATAAACTAAATAATTATCTTTTCTATCTGTGATAAGCATGGAAACATAAACATCCTCCCAAATAACTCGAGTATTTTAGCAGTTATATGTTAGAAGGACAATTTATATATCACTGAAATTCTGCCAGTATAACATGGGAATGATACTATAGAGAGGAAAACGTGTACTGTTTTAAATTTATGAACAATACGCTTGATTTCTAGGATTAAATGTCTCTATACTTGTTAGAATATAACACTCTGATGTATAAAGCCAATTTATGCTAAAGGCTGACACATCTCTGACTAGTCTCAATACCAGAATATACAAAAGATCTGGGCCATTTTGTTATATGAAATGTAACTATTCAATATTTTGTTTCTAGATTTGACACGCATATTTCATAAGACTATTTAGAAATAACCTAATTAGTAGGTTAGAGCTGATAATATGAAACATTCAGTTGTTATTGAGTAATCTCTATTCCTCCATGACCATTCAACTGGAAGACAAAAATTGAATGCATGGTGTACAGTCATTATCCAACATGGGTTTCATTTCTGTCCTCCGAAGTGTCTGATTATTATCTAGCTGCAAATCAGGGTTGTTTGGGATAGAGCTAAATCTGAAGGTTGATGTGGATACAATATTGTAGTGAAAACAAAGAGAAGAGACATTTATTAGTTGATACATAGTGAATGAATAGATAGTTATGAAGGTGCTGAGCACAGTGAAGTTATTGATTATGAATGCAAGTTAATCAATCTCACTTTATTCAGTGTATCTTCTCTTCTTCATTGGGGAGCATGGGAGTCCCTGCATTTATTAGAACACCTGCAGTCACTAGAACTAAAGAAGCTGTGATAATAAAAAAGATTTATATTCCATTTTGAAATTTTCAATCTGACCCATGCTCAGGGCTAGTTAATCATGGAGCTGAGCAGGAAGGAAACAGAAAGATCTTCCTGCAGAGATTGACAATTCGTGTCAGGAGATCTGCTACTCTACTAATATGAAAAGATTTGCAGATGCTTTTGAAAACTGTTGGGTATAATTAGTGTTGCAAAAGACATTTTTGTCTCAATTTTTAAACCTAGTATGGATAGTAGTTCAAAGGAGCTGATGGGGCTTGATACTTCAGAGCTTAAGTAAGGTAAGGCAAAGGAGTAGTCAAGAGGCAGAATGTTCTCTCTGTCCTGTTGCCTTTGTATTTCTGTAATCACTGTGCTGTCCACTGTCTTACCTTGTGGTGAAACTTTGATGTAACAAGCTGCTGAGGTTAGAGGGTGAGAGGGAGGAGTGTGGCATTACTGAGGTTGTTAAAAGAGCTGTGTTCCTTTATTTTTGGTACAAAATATGGGATAATTTGAAATGGATAAAGGATTTAGTGACTGCCTTTGTTCTGTGCTCTACTTATGATGATGTATAATGAAGAGGAATCATACCATTGACCGTTCTTTAGAGCAGTTAACCTGGGGAAAGATTTCATCCTCCCATGAGATCACATGAATTTGTGCTTCACATGACAATGGTACCTGTTGACAAAACAAAAATCAACACATTGAGGTAACAAAACTTCAGACACAAAGGAAGAGTTGTGCTTGAAAAAAATTATGATTTTTTTAATAATACTTTTAAATACAAATATACTTGGAACTTTACCCAAATATCTGTGAAATCCATCTTAGTGATGGAGATCTGTATTGGGACACATCACTGCTTAGCCTTTTGAGGTTATAGTATGCCTGTGTGAACACTTTATTTCAACTTTGGATTGGAGATTGGATCTTGAAAAATTGGATTTTTCATCTCCAGCACTTTTGGAGCACTAACTGCTTAATCTTCATGATATTCATAAGAAATATTGTTTATTGATGGTATTTCTCCTACGAAAATTCAGGAGAATTAGATAGGGAAAAAGATGGGTTTTTTTCCTATTTAGTGTCTGCTTCACTAACAGAATCTCAAAGGTAAGCACCGTTCATATGGTGGGAAAAGAGATGGGAAATAAAGCCTCTCTTTCCCAACCAACTCCCTTGCCAATGGTTTCTGACTCTATCAGCATTACTTTCCAGTATCTGGAACACATTTTTCGGGTGTCAGCAGCACACACTCCATTCTTTTGCACACCAGTAACACTCCAATCTTGTGTTTTCCTTAGCTGCAAGTCCACAGAGTCGGGAGTATTGCAGCTGTTTCATTTCGCAGCAGCCTCCTCTCCTCCTTCCTGTGATTCATTATCATCAGAAGAAAGTTCCTTTCACCTTGCAGCAAACACTGATCCTGCAGTTGGAGTGACTCAGTTCAAGCTTCATGTTTTATAACATTGTCACTGACTTGGGTTATAAACAGGGAAACATGTCCTTCTTGTTCAAACAGAAGTTTTCCGAAAGAGGTAACAGAACTCAGGACGTGATTTTACTTAATTGTTTACAATTTCTGGTGCGAACTAATTTGACCATTAGGAACAGTACAATTGGCAGCATCATCATTACTTACACTGTCTGGTGTGGCTTCACAATCTTCATCAAGTTTTTCGAACTCTGTCTTTGAGCAGTTTGTCTTCAGCATTGTAAATGTTAAATGGTAGTTTTGTCCTGCAACCACCTGAAAAATTAGCAAGAGGCTTAGCAATTAGCTAAGGCTTTCTGTGATAAAGGCATTTTATTGAAAGGGTTCACAGGAAAGATGTTTTCTACAAGCTTATACTACTTACATTCTACAAGTCCTGACCACTGGGACAACATATGTTAAGAACAATGTTAACAAATATGAAAATATTTGGCAGCAAACCTATCTGCTTCTAATCACCTTATTTATTCCAGTTCCCATTCTCAAAAATTCCAGCATTGAAATTGAAGGAAACAGAATGGTCAGAATAATATCAGGCCCACAGTTTTGGCTTTGTTTTATTGGATGCCTGTAGTAATTTAATTAATAACAAATGAAATCATTAGAGATACTGCTGTAGAGAGCCAAATATAATGTAAGAAAAGTGGAATGTGAGCAAAATGAAGTATGTGATGAATAGGCTCAGTTGAAAATGAACATGTTTGCCAAATGCGTTAAGGAGAGAAACTGCATGGGTTCAAGAATGTGCCTGGTACGAGTTCTCTTAGTATTTTTTCCAGAGATAATGTATCTTGCTTCAGAAACATCAGTCGAAACATGAAATTCTGTCTCTTTTAAGTCCGTTTTAAAAATATATGCATGCTAATATCAATCATGATATGAAAAGTGAGAAAGAAGAAAAAAGTTTGAAAGAAGAAAAAAGGTTTAAAAGAAGAGAAAACACAGCTATTATTAGTAAGATAACATGAGCTATTCAGAAAAACTGGTGTGCTTTTAGTGCCTTCTCCAATGGTAGCCCTGAAGCTCAGGAGAAGTTGTGATAAAGTATTTTCTGAACTACTCCACTGGCTTATTTTCAATTCCGTTCTAAACCTCTGTTTTGATATGTTGGGACAGTCAACAAGGCAAAGGCAAACACTGACCAATATTATCTTCTTGATTCCTTGTTCTTCTTTATCCAGTTGTATTTATCTGTATATCTTAAGTTATGCACAGATGTTCTCTTCTGAATCTAGCTGGACTATTATTAGCAGCAGAATCAGTATATAAGTTAACAGATTTCTAAGGGAAATTGGGAAGCCCCATTTCTTGAAGCTTACAGCTACTGCAGGGTGGACAGTGCCTTAAATAACATAAACCATTGGTGTGGTGGATCAAGTGTGTAGTTTCGTGTAATAAATCTTTTTTACTTTAAAAGTATAAGATATGTTATACCTTACACAGGCTGGTAAAAGTAGGGTAGATGTACAGAAATCAGATAGCCTAAGTCGACCTTCTTCCCATGTTTTTAAAATCATGATGTTTTAAGAAAAATAAAAAAAAAAAAAAACCAAGAAATGGGAGATTTTAAAATCACTTTTGAATGGAAGCCAAGATGGATAAAATTTTGCAAGAAAAATTGCATGCATGTTTCAGTTACCACCTGTATCAACACTTAGAGGAAAACACTTTCAAGTCCGAATACGAACTTTAGCTAACATTCATCTCAGACCAGGAACACTGTCATGTCTGTTCCTCGTCTCTGTGGTATATCCCAACCTGAACTGTCGCTGCTTCTATTTCTCCAGCTTTATAGTGGAAGTCATGATTGCTCTCCGAATTATACTTCTCCATGGAAACCTTCAGTAGTTTCTTCAGTTCTGGACTGTCTTTTGGGATAGTCTTTGAACAACCAGTGCGAGCGGCAGGAATTACTGTGTCTTCAACTGAAACAAAATCAATAGATTTCCTTAGAAGGAACAAAAGATTCAACGTAGATAAAGGCTGGGAAAACCAGTTAGTTATAAACCCCGGCTTTCTGGAACACTTTGTGTTTGGGTCTATCAAATGAAACCAAAATATCTCTGAGTTTTATGTGATCAGCAGTATCATATCTTGGTTATTTAAAAGAGCACTGCATGAGCACCTAGTGTCACACTGGCCACTTAACAACAGTTTTCTCACAGAAACAAGAATTTGTGTGTACCAATTGTGAATAGCTAGCCAATCAAGAGAGGGAACATCTGCACGTGTGGAAAGACCTGATCCAGGTGAAATAAGAGGTGCTTGTTACTGGCAATGAATGAGTGTGTTGAAGAATATAATTATAATTTCTTGAGGAAAAACTAGTCTGAATGGGTGAGAATGCAGCATTTACTACATGGAGTAGTACTGTACTCCTTGTTCTAAAGGTCTGAAGCTGTCATAATCTGTGTCCAAATAGATGGCTGGAGGAAAAAGCAATAACAAGAAAACCATTTGGGAGTTTGACTGTAATGAACTTAAAAATTCCAATTAATTTATTTGCTGGGGGAAAAAAAATAAGCCTCTAACATATCAAATGTAAGTATAGCCATGCAATATGAAATAAACAATGGTAGTATCAATAGGTGAATTACCAATTTTGGACGAGATCTTGAAGTCCTCAGCTCCTTTGCCTTTCAAAAGAATACACTGGAGCTCTTTGGAGAGTTAGAAGATGTTACTTATTTAAACGACATGATATTTACTTGCTCGTCATTGTGGTGGAAAGCAATTAATTTTTGTAGGACGGTTATACTCTTTGAGTTTGTATCTGTTAATCTCCAAATGAGAGTCAGCAACCAGCTCCATAGCATTGAAACAGGGCAGTATACAAATGATAAAAAGTAACTTTCAGATGTATATGAAATGCTTGTAGGAAATGAAAAAAAAATATCTGTGGTAATATTTCATTAAGAGGCAATGCTTTTTTGGCCCCAGGAGAATTATTTGTTATATCTGTTTTCATCTCTTGTATTTTTATTTTGCCTTTTTTTACAATTGTAAAAAAAACATTGAAAATTGCAGAACTTTTAAAATTGGAAGTGCCTACGACATACCTGGAAGCTTGCATTGGCTTGCAATGTCTATGATCTGCTCGTGAACATTTTGATATGCTTTGGCATCACATTTACCTACACGCTGGAGTAAAAAACACAAAACAACTCCTTGTTATTTAGAAATAATGAACAAGCTCACATTCTAATACCTTCCTGCTAACAGAAGAAGTCAAGCATGTTACTAATAATTCCTTCCTTCCTTCAATATACTGAGAGGAAGAAGTCTGACAGACAGTCTGCAGAGCCAAGAGATGATCAGGGTTCAAAAGGACCACTCAGAGAAAATAAAACCATAAAAAAGAAACTAAATGAACTATTTGTATGTGTTCATTACAGAAGGAAATGAGGCTTTACAAGCCAGAATCCTGTTTCATGGAGAACACAGTGGAATTCCTATCTTAAACTGTAAAGACCAAAAAGAAGATTGTGCGATTAACAAATCAAACATTACTGAGTTTCTTGTATTTACTCAGGTGTTCTAAAGGAACTGTGGTAGATGACTTGCTTAAAATTGCCTTGATATCTTAGGGCTGGAAGAAAGCAGGTGTGGATCCTGTTCTTTTTTTAAGAGGGTTATATATCGACCCATAAAACTGATGTCTGTACCATTCAAGTGATTAGATGGTAGTAAGGAAAGAATTAGGGATCATGAATACACCGGGGAGAGACGAGGGCTTTTGTTTCATACAGAAGTCATATATTACAGATTTGCCAAAGTTCTTCAAAAGCACCAACAAAAGTGAGTAAAGAGACCTGTTGATAAACTGTAAGTAAATTTTCAAAAAAGTTTCAGTGAAGTCCCTGATTTAAAAGAAGCTAATCAACTGTAGAATAAGAAAGACCATTACACTTCAGGATCAAGATCTTAGGGCTATGACAGATAATTGAAAATGTCATCAGTAAAAGGAAATCTGCTTAGTAGTGATTCAGAAAAAAAAATTAAAAAAAGAGATGTCAAGGCTTATTATGCAGGTTAAAGGGAATGACATTATGCCTCACTGTAGTTCTGTGGTTCACATGTATGGTGAATACAGGGTGCAATTCTGGTCCTCTGATTTCAAAACGAATCCTGCAGAGCTGAATGAGGGTATGAAACAACTTCCAATGAATTTGGTCATTCTAAGGTACGGAATATTCTTGGAATATCATGTTCTACTAATGTCTGTTGATCTATTAGCAAGACTGCTTAACAGTTCAGAGGATAAGTGATAAAGATCTGATCCCACAGACTCTGTGTCATCAAAGCAGTATGTGAATGAAGTAGCGCTCCTGCGCTATGTGAGGCGGACAGAAGTCATTATCTCTAGGTGACAGGTTGGGAAACTCAAACTCAAGCAGATTAAGTAACTTGCTTAAGGTTTAAGGGCAAGCGTGGGTAATGGGGAGATTTGCTTCAGCTAGTCTTGATTCTCACTCCTATTATTTACCACAGTGTTGTCATTCTTTCCTTTTTTGATCAATGCTTCTGAAACATTCTCAAGACATCCGAGGAGTAATCTTTAAGCGAGAGGTTCCTGAACGTAACGCTCAACAGTGCACTTCCACAGCAGCTGAAGCAGATGCAAGTCAGGACTCCTGTGGTTCCTCCCCTCCCATTTACCACCACTGTTCATTATGACTCTGTGTTCCTGCCCTCTACCTGGTATCTACAGAAGCATTTGTCTGACCCCCTGGTGAGCTGGTTCAGGGAGGCTGGGTGAGGGAGCAACCCTCTGGTTTTGGTACAGGTACTTCTGTTCCAGGTCAGAGAAGCTGAGGAAGTACCTGGTTTTGCAGCACTGTTTAGCTAGAGTTATATTTGCTAAGAAATTTCTTTTGAAGCTCTCTTGTTTTGACTGTGCTAGAGGTTAAGTAATAATTCAGCTACTTACTTTTCTTTGAAAATACGTCTTAAGCTGGAAAAACGGTGCTAATTTTAATTATTGCTTTCTGGGTTGTACCTGAGTAACTCCTTGAATATCTGCATAGGAACCTCTCAAGGGATTTAGTATTTGGGTGAGGCTGTTTAGATTCTATAGAGTAATCTGTAAACATTTCAGTGGTCATCTTAGTTATTAGTTCAGGAGAAGACATGGACATTCTAACTGCATAAATAAACAGTTACCTATAAGCCTGTGTTTAAACTTCATTCACAAAATAAAGCAAGATTATAAATATTTTCTTGAGTCAGATATCAATGATTATTTGCTAATATGATATTTTCTTGATAAATAGATTTTGAAGATTACTTACTCCTCTAGAAGTGGTTTTGCACTCTGGAGTTAAATCTTGAAATTGGTCTTTGGAGCAATTAGTCTCCTCGATTTCATATTTAATTATGTAATTCCATCCAGCTACCACCTGGAACAGATATTTAGGAGATACAGTATGTAAACCAATACAAATATGGAAGTTAAACTATTAAATGTGATTAGCAAAGAAAGCAAAACTACTCTTCTAGTGCCTTCCATCCATTAAATAATTTTGCAGTCATTGAGTCATAGAGTACTCATGGACAGCTTGGATTCTGCTTCTCCTGGCAAGCCTGCAGCCTTGTAATGCTCGGTTTCTTGCACTTTCCTTCAAAGTATCTGTTACTCATTACTCCCAGTGACAGGAAACCAGTCTAGATAGATGACTATACTAATACAGCTTGGCAAGTCCTATGTTCCTGAGTGTGGGACATATAGTAGAACAGTATCTGAATAATGTAACATTCTACGGCTGGCATCATTTGTTATTGAGTGTCCTGCATTTATCATCTACCTATAATTGTGTCTGCCTTGGGCTTTGACTTTCCCCACCCACTGTTTTGTCCAGATTTGTGACCCTTTTTTCATTTTCTCTCCAGGAAGCAGTTCAGTTTTCCTCACTGTGGCTGCTGCTTCTCACTCATGAAACCTCTCTATGTCACAGTGTTGGGTCAGGTAGCATTGGATTAAAAAACTGAAACAAGAATTAAATACAGGATCTTTCCATCACAGATCAGTTAAAGTGGTGGGATCTGACTAGTCTCTATTGGCCAGAAGTGACATGATAGTCCCATGCAAACCCAGCTGAGGGATTGCAGTCTGTCTGTGACATTTTGTTGTGTGGTTTAAATGTTGTGTAAGCTTGTCTTTTAGCTAAGGGGATCATTGGCATCAGTAAATAAAAAGAGGACAGTTTGAATTAAATCATGGGTCAAATTGACATGAGACCAGAAGACACTTTTTGGCTAAATAAATACATACACATTCAAAGAAAAAGGCCTGTATTTGGTGTCAGGTTATATACCAGTTAAAAAACAAATAAGAAAATACTTTCTGGCAATGTCACACCAACTCGTAGGAGAGCCTTTCACAGGGAAATAACTGTTGCATGGAATACCAGATGACACCAAATTTCTGTGACCTGAACAGTCATTTCTTGCAAAGCAAATATTCCTGTGTGCAGAAATCTTTCAGGAAGTGACATGTCGACTTTTTGTTTTTCTTACCCATTTTTCTTATGTAGGGTTTATCTGTCCTATAGTGTATAGCAGCTGCTGACATATGGGTCCTATTGCATTGCAAAAACATAGATGCCTGCTGCTGTTTGAGAGGCTGTAGACTATATGAGACATCTGTGCAGTCTGGCAGTTTTGGCACAGAACCTAGGAGAGATCTGCTCCTGCTGGAGCTTCAGTGAAAGGCCAAGCGGAATACCCAAGAGCATCTGAGATGACACAAGATGCCTGTGTCAGCACTGAATGCAAAAAACCTGGTGCTAAACACTGGTTAGATGCAACTGTAGACAGAGAAATATGTTTACTATCAGTTTGACAGCTCTGAAAATCCAGTAGGTAACTGTTTATGAGTCCTTATAAATGAAGAGAAATATTTACACAGTCTACACTCTATATGCATTTCATATGCTTTTACTACGAGATATAAGCCACCTCAAAATCAGAAGCATGTACCTAAAACAACCAAGGCACCTGGTTTCGTTTTGTTTTGTTTTTATAAAATTTAGAGAAAAATCATATACAAACCTGTCTTTTGGCTTCTTTTACTTCAACAAGCTTAAAAAGGGCAGGTTCAGCACTGTGCTTGTTAAACTTTTGAATAGCTTGTTTCAGAATTTCTGACACTTCTGGTATTTCACTTGATATAGGATGGATGCATCCAAGACAGGTAGCCTCATTAAGTGTTATCTTTGGTATAGCTGGAAAAGAAACAAACCAAAAAATATAAGGCTTCATGTAAACAATCTCAGGTTTTAATTTTTTCTATCTGAGAATGAGAGAAAAGGTTCAATGAGCAAGAGCCTTTCCTGCTTTTAATTGGAATGATCAGCAAAACCTACATTTTGGTCTCAGGGCCTGCAAAGACATTCATTGTGTTTAGAAACATGCTTTGGTGTGTGGTGGTAGGGGCCATCTATGATGTTTGGATCCAGGCATTGTTTCAGCAACAAACTTTGTTCAGAGGAATAAATTCAGGAGTAATTGAATCTCTGAAAAACCTTTCACGTAGTTTTGACACCATTAAGGAAGGATCATCCCTCAGTCAGTCAGGGAAGAGCCAGTGGAGACTACAACTAAGCACATTCTTCAAATTTTTCAAAGCTCACCTACTGTATGCAGCTGTTTACTGTCCTCTCCATGTTTCAGGATGGGGACTTTGACAGGAGTATTTTGGCTCACCCATGTGAACTGCTCTGACTCTAAGCTCCTTAGGGCCTGAACTATTCTACTGCTGTCCCCTTGCTAGTCACTTTGTATGCCAGTTACCCCTTGGTGTTACCTTCAGGATTAATCAACTGGATGGGCTGTGGATGGACAATCTTGACGGGGATGCTCAAACTTCTGTTTCCTACTACTAATCCTATTAACTCTCTTTCCTTTCTAGTAATCATGGATTGGATTTTCATAAATTAATTTTATAGTTCGGTACATAAATTAATTTCATGATTCAGTGAGCTCGAGAATGAAAGTAGGACAATATGTGGTCTCTGTGGAATTAGAGTAAAATTTGTGTGCCTGATCCTCAGCTGGCATAAACTGGCTTTAATGGAGTTATGCCAGTTTGCACCAGCCAGGGAACCTGTCCAGGGTCAGTACGATCAAATTGTTCCACCAAGAAGGCTGAACAGCATGGTACCTAACGTGACAGGGAAATCCTTCATGGGTTAGGGTCTGTTGTTTCACTCTTTCTGTTTGAACCCTTTGAATTTGATTTGGCTCCTCTGTACATTTGGAATATCTCAGTGTAAGCAATAGTCTTAGCTTTCCCAGAGGTACTCGAACGAATTCTAGCCCTTTGTATTTCTAGCATCACTTATTTTGACTCAGTAATGACAAATATAGACATTTTACAGAAAAACGTGACCATGTTTTCAGGGAGTAATCACAAAGGAGATAATAAAACAACAGTGTCACAGAATCACAGAACACCCCAGTTCTAAACTGGCTGTGGTCTCAGCATTTTCATAAGTGCTGAACAAATGTGTATTCTTTTTTTAGAGTTGCTATAACTTGGTAACAAGAGATGAGCTTCTTAGGCTGAATAAGTGATCCATTTAGTTTATGTATGTTTATTTTAGCTTTCTAGCAAAGATTCAAATGCAAGTTTCCCATGCATGCTCTGTGGGATTCACACACCTTTTACTGGCAACTAGGTGTCACCATTGCCCTACAAATGCTTCCAAACCCACCAGTGTTTATTCAGCAGCAGAACATGGAGTTTTTGTACTGCCGTTCCTAGAAGGACACTGGCTGTAGGTGTAGCCATTTCAGTTTTAAACAAGATAACTAGGGACAAAAAACAAAGATAAGCTGCTAAACATCTCAGAAATCATGGCAAATATTTCTGAAGTTAATACGTACTTAGCTCCCTGCTACCAGTTAGATTGGTATTTTAAAACTAGCTTGGGTATGTCTTAAATGAATGCTAGACATAGGCATATAGAGATCTCTGTTGCAAAGCTTTAAAACAATGTGATCTCTTTCTAATAAAGGAAATTACTATGCGAAGATAATAGCCATATAATAATGTCTTATATGCCAGAAATGTAGTACTGCTTATTGTTAAGGTCTGAAAGATATCACAGTGTCTCATATAATTACATCAGTGCTAGATTTTTATTTTGTAAATGAATTTTTTTGTTTTTTTTTTTTTTTTTTTTTTTCTTTTTCGGTTGGAAGTAAATATTTGTTTTGGTAAACTTTAACAGAAATAATTTAGTCATCTTTAGTTTGGAGAAAACTAAGGTACAATTTTGTCACATAAAGTTTTTTCCTGGCACAATTTCTGGCACAATTTCGTACTTGAATAAGTAAGGGCAGAAAATTAAAGTGTGACAAGTTGTATCTAGTCTCTAAGTTACTGGAATGCTTTTGGTCTTAAGCAAATTCTTTTTAACTTGATATAATTCGTGTTTGAAGAAACTTACTACACACACGTGCTGGTTTTCATTACCGTAGATAGAAACTAGTGGTGCTTCAGTGACTTAGTCTATGTGTGTGACAGTGAAATGAAATTTTATCTTTAACATATAGTTGCTTATGGAAGATTATTTGTAAATGTCTGAGTAGAAGCGTAAGGAGCTTCTACCTTTAAAACTACATGAAAGTCTCTATATTGTATTTTTCCCATTCTTATTTGTCAACATACTTGTTGAATGCTGCCCCAAACAATTACATACCTGACAAAATTCTGCAATCTTGTGAAACATTACTTGTTTTTTCAGCATCATTCATGTGAACTCGAGCTGTGCATTCTCCAGTTTTCTGCAAAAATATATGACAACGTGTCTTAAACTTGCTGAAGAACAATACAGTCCTATAAATTCCTCTAGCTATTGAACAAAGTTGATAGTTGCAAAAGTTCATATGTACGTTTGTAGTAATGTTTAATTTGCTGTTTTTTTATTGGAAAAGGAATGGTTTTGTTGATTGAGGAGAGTAGGGGATGAACTGAGCAGACAGATAATTTGAAAGATTGCTTTGTATTGTGATTGATGCTTATTAATTAACTAAAGAATTTACAATCACAATAATGGAAATGAACACATCCTCATAAATAAAGTCTGTATAAATTGTGTATTTACCTAATTTCCTCTCTGCTAGTACAAGATATGCAGTAATGGCCAGGGAATTTCACATTGACTCAATTATCTCCATCATCCCTTTCTTTGCATCATGTACTGTGTGAAGTAACAGTGACTTCCACTGGAAATGTGGAGTATTCCTGCACGCTGTGTGCACCCCAATGGTAACTCCTCTAGATGCTCTGTACTGGCATAAGCCAGACATGCTTTGCACTGCTAAAAGCCTTCCATTATACATAATTAATAGAAAATTTTGTAGCCCTCACACTCTCACAGTGCATGTATCTTATGATGAATTTATTGTGAACCTTCATATTGAAACACTGAAATATTCCCTTCTGCACATATTCAGGATTATAATGGTTAATTTTTGAGTTGTAAACATTTCTGTACTGCACTTCAGTCCTATAAGCTCTCAAAACCAACACAGCTAAAAAAAAATTAAATTCACAACTGTATTTTTCTCCATGTGACTGCAGTCCTGGTCATTGTGCTGATGCTTCTGTACAGAGAACTTTTAAAGAGAACAGATACTTACAGCCTCTGCAGATACTTTGTAATCGCAGTCTTGCCAGAGTTTGTTTTCCTCAGCGGAACAAATGGTTTCTAGTATTCGATATTTAACATAGAATTGTGTGTCAGGACCTGCCTGGATAAAAGCAATATGCATGTCATCATTTGCATAGCAATAAATGAAGTGAAAAGATAAGAGCTTCAAAAGGTAAATACCATGCATTGGTTACCTTACATTTTATAGCATAGTTTCAGATTAGCTGCTGGCCTCCATGCAAGGTCTCCCAAATCTTGGTAGCTCACTAATTAACTTATCTAACTATATCACTGAGCCCTTACCTGCAATTACAATGTGTTGATACAATAGATAAGATATGCTCAACTACCTTCATTTTAACTTGTAGCACCAAGGGTTTTAAGACCAGAAAGAAATGATTAGGTTTTATGCTCATATTCAAGTGTACTCCAAATAAGCAAATTTGGGTTGCTTAGATAGTTAGCATAATTGCTGGCTTGGACTGTGCTCCTGTCTGACTCTCTCACTCTTGGCTTTCTCCCAGATCTGTCTGCTTTCCTTCTGTACAACTCTACAGGCAGCCCAGAAACAGCAGCCAGCAACCCTTGGGCAGCCTGGCAGTGCCCAAACTGCCTTTACTTTATGGTAACAGGATACTTAAGCACCCCTGCCTACTTGGAGGAAAGGGACAAGGAGGGCATATGCCTTGGAGACAGCCTTTGGCAGTGCCTGCCCTTTTTCTGTAGGCAATAAAGGCTGAGCTGCTCATGAAGGTAGCCTCAGGAATCCCATAAGATGAAATACAGACATGCTAAGCAAAGTTTGGCCTGGCCAGTGGAAGCGTTTCTGATGTTGGTAAATCAGTACGGGGCATTTTCTCCTTGCCATAAACTGAGTAGTGAGCCTGTGCCTACGGGTGACATTAACGCACTGCTAGGTTTGCGGTTCATCCTTCAGAGGAGGTTTAAAGCCAGAAGTTACTCATCTTTTATAGCCACTAAAAATGCTCTGCCAACGTGCCTTTTCAAATACAAACACAGGCAGTTGCTCTACTTTAACACTGGTTATCCTCAAATGATACTTCTGAGAGAATTAAATGATAATTCTTGCCTTAGTGGTACCAAGAAAGTGAAACTGAGCTGATGTGGATGGAATAGGCTGGATTTGCACTGGTACAG